AAATCATATTGGCTGCACCATCCGTCACAAGGCAAGTGACCTTGTCTGTGATTCCCCATTCCTCCATGAGGGAGGCTTTCACTCTGGCCAGGTGTGTGTTTGGGGGAATTGCTGTACTCCTAACAACACAGAATTAGGGAAGCTGTGTTAAGAATGAGTATCTTGTAACTTTCTTTTATTTGCATGAGAAAGTGAAGTTAACATGGTTCAATTATAAAGTATATTATTCCAAATATATTAAATGACAAACCTTGAGCAGGTCCACCTCCATGTCCCTCCTTGATCTCATGTATGGCACGATACTGCCTTATCATGGATGAAGTATTGTTATTTTAACCCAGTTCCCTAGAGCACAATAAACACTTCACCTTTGAATAAAATAGAAAAAGTAAAAAAATGAACCATACAAAATCTAACATAATACATCTGTTGTAATAGATACAATACAAGCTTCGGGGATTACTCGACACACGCTCCGAAGCCTCTGCGCAATACGTAACATCACTAGAGGAAACCGCAGCCTTCTTCAGGCCTTTATGGAGGCCCTGATTGGGGATTGGGAGCGCCTGAGTGAGTGGCTGCACCTGGAGGAGGACAATCAGGGGGGGAGAGACACAAACACAAATTTGGCACGTAACGTTGTAACTCTTGACCAAAACAATAGTCTTCTAAAGCAATTGTCCTCCCTTCAACCTTAAAATATGTTTCTGTTCAGCTTTTATTCTTTTGCATATCCTTTAAATTGTGTGTAGTTTATTAGTTTGTTCTCTGTTCTGAACCAATAACACCCTTGAGCTGCTGCCTGCTGATTGGCTGATGTTCAGAGGCTAGGGGGCCTGAAGTGGAATCTTCATGAGTGGACATATTTGCGGAAAGTGTTTAAAATAGTGTGTGGGGCTCTGACTAATGACTTGAGAGTCTCTGAGGAGCTTCTCTGTGAGGCAGAGGGATGAAACACAGTTATACAAAGTTAGCAAAGCTGTAATCACCGGCACAGAAGCATGAGTCATCATCGCCACTTCACTCAGGCTCATCCACTCTCACCAGTCCTTACATTAGGTCTTTTAGACACCGAATCATAAAGATAATCGTTTGTACTGTTCAGAGTCATGTTGTGTTGATGTGGTTTGTTCATCTACTCTGAGTAATATTTGATTCAGCAGTTACTACTGGTGCAGTGTTGTGAAGAGGTTGGATGATCTAAATGGCCAACATATACACTACTGTATGTGTGCACTGTTTATGGAGGTTACTGTTCTATTGGGACTATGAGGAGATGTTTTTAGCAAACTTGGATTAGGAAATAGGAGTGGCTTTTATCGTGACACAGCCAAGAGAAATTCATTTTATTTCTTATTCTGATAAGAACATGCTATTTCACAAGGGAACTGGATATGTAGGGCAGCCTTTTTAGTTCTGGGGCATATTGTTTAAAATGTATTAATAATAATTTAAATGTATTTAGCGCTTTTCATAAACCCAATGACGCGTATACTTATGGAAAACCACATTTCTGCCTGCAGATCACTAACCCTAACCTGTTTCCCAAAAGAGCATAGTTTGAAAACTAATGTTCTTTCTTTTTGTCTCCAGGTTCAACGGTCATCCCATCCTCTGACCTGTTCTCCAACACCTCCTGCAACACCTCCTCCAATGATTCCACCTTCTGCTCTCCTGTGGATGAAGGACAGGGGGCAGGAAGTCCATATAAGGCTCTGGAGATGTTCTTCATCGCCTTAGTTACAGGATCTCTGAGCTTTGTGACTGTAACAGGAAATATATTAGTCATGCTTTCCATCAAAGTAAACCGCCACCTACAAACTGTCAACAACTATTTCCTGTTCTCATTAGCCTGCGCTGACCTGATCATAGGGGCTTTCAGCATGAATCTGTACACGGTCTACATCATCGTGGGCTACTGGCCGCTGGGCCCGGTGGTCTGTGACTTATGGCTAGCTTTAGATTATGTTGTCTCCAACGCCTCCGTGATGAATTTATTGATCATCAGCTTCGATCGCTATTTTTGCGTGACCAAACCCCTCAGTTACCCATCAAGAAGGACGACCAAGATGGCGGGGCTGATGATCGCAGCGGCGTGGATCCTGTCCTTCATCCTGTGGGCACCTGCCATCTTGTTCTGGCAGTTCATCGTTGGACAGCGAACAGTGCCCCCTGGAGAGTGTTACATTCAGGTACAGTGCAGCAAACTCAACTGTTACTTCAGCAGTTACTTCAATTAGTGGAGTACAAATACTTTCTAACTGTACTTAAGTACATTTTTCTGGTATCAGTACTTTACTCCACTACATATTTTTCTGACCACTTTTTACTTTTACTTCTTACATTTTTAACACAAATACCTGTACTTTCTACTAATTACATTTTCCAAACAGACAGGTTACTTTAGTTTTAATCTGTGTTTGATGGCGTGATCATTATTATTTAGAGTCATTGCGTGCCTATTGAACAATGAAAACATTGCCGTTGTTCAGCATGGAAACATTCATTAGCTAACAATGACATTATTGTTCTATTAATATAAAGGGAGGTCAGGTACTCTTTAAAACAGCTGCTAGTTATGGGTACTTTTTACTGAAGTACATTTCAAAGTTCTTTGTACTTTGACTTGAGTAAAGAAGTTTAGTCAGTACTTCTACTTTCACCAGAGTATGTTTAAACACGAGTATCTGTACTTCTACTTGAGTAAAGGATGTGTGTACTTTTGCCTTCTCTGTCCTTCAGGAATAAGGCTCACATCTAAGACAACCTGTTCATGTGTGATTAAAGTACT